ACATTAACTTGTTACAGGATTGTCACATTCCTCTCCGATGCAATCTCTCAACTCCAAATCCACTGCCACTTAATGTTGGCCTCCATATCCTAGACGATTGAATTCCAAGGCATGAACATATGGAGCCATATGAAACATGATTAACGTAGCATTATCTGTGATAGCAATTGCAATTGTTCTTTCTTCCGCCTTGGACAACTTATGTTCGCAAACATACTGATGCCTAGGATACGATATTGTGTTGTGATGGAGCTTGACTTGAGAGCTATTGTAATGAGATCATGTGGGAAGCAACTAACCAACCCATTTCTCTTGCTTATGAATATTCACATTTAGTGTCATTCAAAGTAGTATAGTTATCGTATTGAGCTCTAAAGAACATGTAATTCACAATTAGATATACATTAAATACAAACATTAGAAGCCTATTAATCTCCACACTTTTGAATCCCGTTTCACTTTCTGGCCTAATATTGAAACAAAAATATTTTTTGCACAACCCGTTCATACCCGCGAAGGCAAGGGATGATAATTCTTATGGAGAACTGTCTCATGCGAGCTCATTGTTAAGGATGGCCACAACATCACAGTTTTTTGCCTCCCCGTGGACTCCCCGTCCCATCTCTTTCCTCCCAATATCAACTTATTTTGGTAACAACCAGATAAAAGCTTCTGAATTGCTGTTTCAAGAATTAGATGTCAATTGGAATCTGGAAACAACTGAAAATTTCTTGCACCAAACAAGGATGCTACCTATCAATGCCAGGTGGATGCCCAGGGATTCCAGACATTCCCACATGACATTCTGAAAGGGGGGAACATTCAGTCAAAAGCAGGTACTAAGCCAACAAAATTCAATCCATGGAGACATTCCAATTGATTGATGAGTACTGCCGACAGAAAAAAAAAAAAGCATGAAAGTAAATTTGCTGATATGATGATGAGCTTTAATGAAGATAAGATTGGGGAACAACTGCTATGGGCAACGAAAAATTTGTCCAGGGAGGAGATGGACTTGTTTGGTGGTGATATGGAGATGTTTGAATGATCTAATTTGCAAAATGTTCAAAGGAATCAACATTAACCCAGGGAAGTCATTACATTGGGCTGCTGCTGGTGTTTGTTATTGAATATCAGAATGCTCATAGAAGGGTGGAGGGGATAGACAGTAGGCAGAGGGCTAAAGGTGGTATTGGTTCAAGGTCGCAGTCCACAAGGGCCACAGATTCTACAGAGTTGGAATCTTATGTAGAGACGAGGAAGGCAAATGGTCACTCGTGCTGCAAAACCCAATCCCTTGGTTGTTAAATGCATGGAGATATGGGAAGGCTTGAAATTTGCATTAAATCGTGTCGGCATAAAAATAGGTCAAGGTACAACAGAATCTTTTTACGTCAAAATGCTGGTTCAGTACCATTGGTAGTAGACTAACTTGGAGGTCTAGAAACTAGTTGCACATTGATGTCAAAATATCACAACCAAATAAGCTAGGATACATGAGCTCGATTAACCAGATATCAAGGACAGAAATATGCAATTCAAAAACAATTTATAAATATCATTAAACAAAATGCTAAAACAATCTATCCAACAGCTTCATATAAAGGCGGGTTCGACTGTTTATACCTTAATTGAAAATAATAAATACCATGAAAGAAACAAAACATAGGACATTCTCAGAAACAGTATGCTGTGTTGCTGAGCCGAAAGAGAATTCTCACTTGAGAGGAATGAACCTTGAAGAGTGAGTAGCACCAATACCAGGTCTACCGTGCTTAACAGGCTTGTATGAGATTGAGAACTCGGCAAGATAGTGGCTGATCATTTCAGGCTTGATTTCAACTGTATTGAAGGTCTTGCCATTGTAAACTCCTATGACACTTCCTATCATCTCAGGGACAATGATCATATTTCGCAGGTGAGTTTTGACAATCTCAGGCTTCTCACCTGGTGGGGCCTCACGTTTCTGAATTAAAGAATCATATGAAACATTCAGGAAACATGGTTTATTATTCAGTAATGAAAAACATTAAAAGTTGACACAATATCGACTACTAGAAACTTGACTGGCTATAACGAGAAAAAAAAAAAGTGATTCTGAAAAGTATTGCACTCCACAGAGGCAGGTGTAATCTAACTGTGCAGAATGCTTAAGCTAATGAAACTGAGTTGAAAACTTGCCATTGTAAACTCCTATGACACTTCCTATCATCTCAGGGACAATGATCATATTTCGCAGGTGAGTTTTGACAATCTCAGGCTTCTCACCTGGTGGGGCCTCACGTTTCTGAATTAAAGAATCATATGAAACATTCAGGAAACATGGTTTATTATTCAGTAATGAAAAACATTAAAAGTTGACACAATATCGACTACTAGAAACTTGACTGGCTATAACGAGAAAAAAAAAAAGTGATTCTGAAAAGTATTGCACTCCACAGAGGCAGGTGTAATCTAACTGTGCAGAATGCTTAAGCTAATGAAACTGAGTTGAAAACAATTACATGAATACCCAGGATTCACACTCAGCTTATATAAGTTGGCACTTGTATGGATCTCAAAATTAAAAAACAAACCACCCCTATTGTTCATCAACTAGCAATCATTCCTAATGTGTTCTTTATATTTCTCCATCACCAAGATATTAAAACAGTAATGTTTTATAAACCTGACTGTAGATGTTTTAAGTATGAAGATCATTTTTAAAAAAATGGAAATGCCAGGGATAGATGTTCCCCAAATAGGAGTATCTTCCTTGAAATGTATGGCATGAAAAGCAAGTGAGATGAATATGCTTCAATCCTTTACTTTAGTTTCCCATTTCTACCTAGTAAAAAGAGTGCCAAAACAACAAGGCACACGCAAACAAAGACAAAAAGAGATTGGTTGAAAGGCAAGCAGCAATAACTCCAAATTTCAGATTTTGGATAAATTACCGCTTTGCGCAGCTTCTTGATCAAAGCCATGGGCTTCCTCTTCAAACCCCTCTGAAACCTGCAAATTTATATTGCATATCAAACTAAGAACAAACCTAAATCAATATGGATAAGCTCATCATAAAGCATCAAAATAACTCAATTGCTTTCTTCAACTAAATAATTATATTCTTCATGCAACACAGACCACAAACAAACATGATTTGACTAAACTATTAGATCAAGCACTAATAATGTGGAAGAATGAATTCTGATTTTATTTCTTACTTACTAGAAAAAAATATACAATGGAGTATAAATAGAATGCATATACGGCGTACAAAGGAAGCCAGCTGGCTACCAACTAACTGTCGACTACCTAACAAACGAACAGATAAGCTAACAGATTTACTAACAAATCTAATACTCCCCCTTAAAATGTACTGTAAATGTTTTTTACAGACATCTTGTATAATAAGGGAAAAAGATTTGAAGCATGAAGAGGCTTGGTGAGAACATTGGCTAGTAGGTTGTATGATCGAACTAAAAGAAGTTCAACCATTCCCGCCGCAATTTTTTCACATATGAAGTGGCAATCTATTTCAATGTATTTAGTTCGCTCATGGAAGATGGGATTGGTTGCAATTTGAATGGCCACCTGGTTATCACAGAAAAGGATAGCAGGAGAATGCCAGTAATCAAAAAATCTTTTAATAATTGGTTGATCCACAAAATTTCACTGATGATGGCAGCAAGTGCACGATATTCTGCTCAGCTGAGGATCGTGAAACTGTGGATTGTCTCTTTGCTTTCCAAGATATGAGTGATTCTCCAATGAAGATACAAAAAACAGTGGTGGACTTTCGTGTGTCAACACAAGAACCCCAATCTGCATCTGAAAAGGCCTGCAATTTTACTGGTGAAGGGGAGCTGCTGGATAGAATAAACCTTGACCAGGATTGTTCTTCAAGTAGCTAAGAAGATGACGTACAGCCTCGAGATGTGGCAACTGAGGTTAAGAAAGGAATTGACTCAACTTGTGGACAGCATATGTGATATCAAGCCGGACAAAGTTAAATAAATTAGCCTTCCAATCAAACATCTCTAAAGTGTTGCGTCTGGTAGAAGATCTCCATCATGTAAACTGAGATAAGCCTTTGGATCCATGGGCGAACAAACAGGTTAGCAGTCCAGCTAGCCAGCATCTTCAAGTAACTGCAGTGTATAGTGCCTTTGAGATAGTACCAAACCTGATTTGGATCGAGCTTTTTCAATGCCTAAAAAATACTTCAAACAACCTAAGTCCTTGAGCTTGAACTGAGAATGTAAGAAGATTTTTAATTCGTCAATTGCTTGAATATCAGGACTGGTGATGAGAATGTCATCAACATAGACCAACAATGACACATATTTGTTTCCAGATCCTTTGGTAAATAATGAATAGTCAGCCTTCGATTGGATAAAACTAAATTGGATGAGTGCTTGTGAAAATTTTGAATTCCATTGCCTTGATGCTTGCTTGAGCCCATATATAGACTTATGTAGTTTACATACTAATTTCTCCCCCTGTTGGCAAGGTTTTGGACTTGATAACCAAGTGGAAGATCCATGAATACTTCCACAAATAAGTCACCATTCAAGAAGGCGTTATTAACATCGAGTTGAACTAGATGCCAATTGTAGGATGCTGGATGAGCAACCAAAACTTTAACCGTTACCATCTTTGCCACCGGAGAAAATGTGTCAAAATAATCAAGACCCTCTTGTTGTGTATATAGCCTTTTGCAACGAGGCGTGCCTTATGTCTTGATGTACTTGATTTTGTATATCCACCTGCGTCCAATAGAGCGTTTACCTCACGGCAAAGGGACAATGGACCATGTGTGATTGAGCTCCTCAGCATCTAACTCAAGTTTCACAGCTTCACACCATTGGAGATACTTGAAAGCTTGATGGTAGATTGAGGTTCAACCTGGGCTGAGATATTCAATGTCAAATATCTCTGACTTTGAGACAACTTATCATATGACACAAAGTGACTGACGTAAGTAGATGACAGATAAAGGGTACAAGGATTTTGAGACATCATGTTACAATGAAAATCTTTAAGATATTTTGGAGGTTCAATGACACGTGACTTCCTGATAACAACAACCAAGGTGGGAAATGTGTTAGTGAGGAGATAAAGTGTTTTCTTGGGCAAGAGTATGATTTTCAATGAATGGAGCAGGATTAGACATATGTTGAACTGACTCAATGTTACTATCATGATAAGTGGACATATAAGGGAATGGCAATACCAACTCAGGAAAGGGATCAGTGATATGGTTGGCTTTAGCGATTGTCTTGAATCGAAATATTTCTTTATGAAAAACATCTCGGGACAAGAAAATTTGCTTTGTAATCACGTCCTACAACTTATAACCCTTGACTCCCAATGGATATCCCAGGAAGAAACATAATCTTGCACGTGTTTGGAACTTATTTATATGGGCAGTTAAGGTGGAAGCAAAAGCCAAACATCCATACACTCTTACTGTAGAGTATTCTGCAGGTTTGTTGTACAAGATTAAATAAGGTGTCTTGTGCTTCAACAGAGGAGATGAAGTCCTGTTAATCAGGAAAGTGGCTGTTAACACACATTTGGGCCAGAATTTTATAGGAATCCATGACTGGAAAAATAATGCTCTTGCTACCTTTAAGAGGGGCTGATGTTTTCGTTCCACCATCGAGTTATGCTTTTCAACACAACTGTATTGATGAAGTATTCCCTTTTCAGCAAAGAAATCATCGAATGTTAATTCGGGAGCATTGTCTTATCTGACTACCTTTATTGTAGCATTGAAATGTGTTGAAATCATATTGCAGAACCTTGAAATTACACTTGTTGCATCTGACTTGTGTTTCAACAGAAAAATCCATGTAAATCTTGAACAATCCTCTACTAAAGTCCAGAAGAATCTATGTCCCGTATGTGATGCAATATGATAAGGTCCCCAAATGTCACAATGCACAAGATCAAACGGATTACTTGACCAATGATTGTATGAATCAAAGGATAGTCTTCTTTGTTTAGGGAGAAGACAAATATAACAAGGAATGTTTTTATACAACTTTGTAGCATCACATAACAATTGTTTCTTCAAACTACCCAAACGTTTAAAAGAAAGATGGCCAAGTCTATTATGCCATATGTGAACTGAAATATTGTTTACAAATGCATTTGAAACATAATTCAGCCCTTCCAGTCATTCTCTTGGTTTTGGCTTCCTAGATGATGAAATGATCATGAGAAAAACTAATAGTGAATTGTGATCCAAGTGTTAATTCACTAACAGACAGCAAATTGAACTTGAATTGGGGCACAAATAGTACATCATGTAGAGTAATATGTTGGCTCAACTTGACATTACCACATAGCCTTACCGGAATGCGTGCTGTTTGGCAAAGTAACAATAGAATTATCAATGATTCTCATTGACATGAAGGCAGCAGCAATTGAACACACATGATTTGTTGCACCTGAGTCTACTATCCATATATCTTTGGATGAAAAAGTAGGATCTACTGTCACAGAAGAGCATATACCTGCAACATATGAAGTGGTGTTATTGTCCTGTTGATCCATACCAATTATGCTTAAACTTGATGCCAAATGGGTGGATAACATGGACATCAACTGTTGATACTCATTAGAGTTCAAATTCTGAAGAAAGTTCCCAAAACCAAGCTTATCATCATTCTGGGAATTGATTGGCATAGAAATTTGATTAGCACAATTATAACCAACTGTGTTTTGTAAATTGTCCTTTGTTCTTGTTCTATAACCTGGCAGATACCCATGTATCTTGTAACATTTGTTAATTGAATGACCGTGAACGTTACAATGAGTACAGTAAGCTCTCTCCTTTTTTATGTTTCCAATACTTCCAGATCTTTAGTTGAGCTATAGGATCCATGATTGTTTACTGCCTCCTTGTTATCAATTTTGAGTGCAACGGCCATAGCTCCACTTGAATCATTTCCCACAGCACTCTGTGTACTTTTCTTTGATTTTCTTCCTAAGATATCAAGGCAAACACCTTGTTAATTTGAGGCAATGGGTCCATAAGTAATATCTGCCCTCTAACTTGAGAAAACGAGTCATTTAAACCCATGAGAAATGACATTATGTACTCCATTTGATGATGGTTATCTAACTCCTTCACCCCTCCAAAGGTGCATTTTCCACAATTACAACTAGGACGATAGTTGCTTAGTTCCTGCCAGATTGTTTTGAGCTTAGTGAAGTAGATGCTAACATTATTTTGGTCCTGCACTAAATTCTTCATCTCTCTTCTCAATTGAAAAATCCTTGGTCCATTTTTCTGCTAAAATCTATCCTTCAAATCATTCCATATTTCAAAGGCAAATGTAGCATATATCACACTGCCAGAGATTTCCTTTGAGATAGAATTCAAAATCCAGGAAATGACTATGTTGTTAATTCGACTCCATAAGCTGGTCAATTCAGAATTAGTACCTTCTGGTTTGGATATAATTCCATCAATGAATCGAAGCTTATTTTTGACCGATAATGCAATTATCATTGCATGGTTCCAGGAGGCGTAGTTAGAGATACCAAGACCAATCCTGGACTATCTGAGTGGTGGAGGAAATAGGGACTTGAAGATCCATCAATGGCGGACTTATTCACTGATAAGCTTGAATCGGATTGATTTGCAGATTGTATTGATTCCATATAAGGACCGAATCAAAAATCAGAAATAATTTGATGGGAAGAAGAAAAGTATGGGATGGATTTGCTCTGATACCATATTAGATCGAGCACTGATAATGTGGAAGAATGAATTGTGATTTCATTTCTTACTTACTAGAAAAATGATATACAATGGTGATATAAATAGAAGAGTAAATTTAACGATTGCTCATCCGACTTTGATGTATATTACTACTTGCTCACTGAACAACAAAACATAAATAGTTGCTCACCAATCTATCCAATTACTTACCCGTTGCTCACCCATTTGATCTACGTCTACTAAATTAACAAAATGTGCCACGTGGCAAATTTGAAATGAAATCAGGTGATGGTGTGGCACGTGAAATGGCAACAACAATCATCTTCTTCTTTTCTCTATTCTCAGTTTCGAATTTTGGACCATGGAGTTCCTCCATGAATATGACAGCAAACTCAGATTAAAAATTCCAATCAATGCCATTACTGGAGAGGAGAGCCATATTCCAATTTCGTTTTTAGTCTTGCATTAATTTACTTCAATTTTGAACCCGTCAAATTTACTCTTATGGATTTCTATTTCCCTTCTCCTGGGCCTATCAAGTTTAATCCATTTTCAGCCTGAAATTCTCGTTGAAATAAGTTAGAAAATCAATTGGAAACCAACAAAAATACTTCAAAGATCTCCAGAAGATGCTGTAGAATTTGATTGATCTTTGGGGAAATCAATGAATGTTGCTGATTCACCTATGAATTTGGAGAAAGTAAGGAGAATTATAATGGGCCTTCTGTAAATTTGGAGAAAGATGGGGAAGGGAGTGGAGTGTGGTGGATGAGGAGGTATTGGAGAAGTTAATGGTGAAGCATCCGGTAGGGAAATTGGGCCGATGGGAAGGTGGCACATTGGTTGGTCGTTCTGGTAGAGAATTTACAGGAGGTGGAGGCGGGGATTCCAACTGAGTTTTTCGATAAAGGCGATAAATTGGCCCGATTTCGTTTCTAGTATTTGAGCCACGTGGGATTTTGGTCTGCCATGTGGCACATTCTGTTAGTTTAATAGAAGGAGATGAGATAGATGAGCAATGAGTAAGTAATTGAATAGATGAGTGAGCAACGAGTTATATTTTATTGTTGGGTGAGCAAGTAGTAATATAGACCAAAGTTGGATGAGCATTAATTAAATTTACTCATAAATAGAATGTATATACGGTGTACAAAGGAAGCCAGCTGGCTACCAACTATCAACTACCTAACAAACTAACAGATAAGCTAACAGATTTACTAACAAATTTATATACAAATCTAATACAAACCTTAAGTCTGAAAAGGCATGTTTAAGTAAATATAAATCAACAGTTGCAGATTGCAAGGATTAAATTATCCTCGATTACAGACACAATGCATATAACATGGGGAAAAAAATACCTTCGGCGGGCGCGGGCATGGAAGAGCTTGACGAGCTCATCCGTTGACATATCAAGAAGGGCATCGAGATCCACACCCCTGAAGCTGAACTTCTTAAACGTCCTCTTCTTTGGCTGCCCTGTCGTAACATCGTTCTCTACATCCGCCTGCACATATATACACACAGTCAGCCAATATCAAGAAATTAAACACAAACATTTCTGTGAGGTTTAGAGAGGGAGATACCATGATTGTTGTTTGGAGACTAGTTGCTGAAGTGTTACGAGAACTTTGTGGACACAGCTAGGTTTTTGAGCAGAATGTCTGAATGGGCAGTGCAAAGCAAAATTTGTACAGTTGCAAGATACGACATTAGGGTTTATAGTGCATAATGGGCCGGACCTAATCTTGGATGGGCCTTAGAGGGAACGGGGCATTAAATGAGGAAATGGTGGCAATGGCTGCCCACCCGGCCACTTTTTCATAAGGGCGTTTGACCAAATTTTTTGTGTTAAAAAAAAAATGTAAACAAAATTTAAAAATACCCTCATTTGGAAAGAAGTGAAGAGGGAAATAGAGAGAAAAAAAGAGGAGGAAAAAAAAAGAAAAAACTAGTCCAGATCCCGCCGCCTACGGATGATCCGGACCTGATCCACTTCGACCTATGTGAAAGTTTGAATGTTTAGGATTTAAATATGAGTTAAATTCAATTTTTTATGGTTAAAATGGAAGAAAAGATCGAATCTGAGGTTAAAATGTTGAAAAAAGTGAAAAAAAATGAGACGGACCATGATATGATCTGCAACGGACCATCCGACCATTTGGCTGGGTTCGGACTTGACAATGGATCTATATTTTTATTTTTATTTTCTAAATTTATTTTAATTTTTATGTTAAAAAATGTAATTAAATATGAAATAAATAATATATATATTAAGATAATGAACGAAATATTTAAAGATAAATTAAATAGAATTTTAATTTTTTTTCCATTTTTACTTAAATATATTTTTAGTAATTAAATATACGAAATAAATAATAAATGCATATTTAGTAATTAAATATATGAAATAAATAATATACATTTTAAGACAATTAAAATAATTAATTATGGAAACAATTAATATAATTAAATAAAGAAATAGTTAAATGAAAATTTGAATTAAATATTATTATTTTTATTCAAATAAATAATCGAAATAGAGTAATTAAATATGAAATAAATAATATACATAATTAACGAAATATTTAAAGAATAAATTAAATTGAATAATAATTTTTTTACTTAACCAATTAAGATAATTAATTAAAGAAATAGTAAAATAAAAAATTGAATTAAATATTATTATTTTTATTCAAATAAATAATCGGAATAGAGTAATTAAATATGAAATAAATAATATACATAATTAACGAATATTTAAAGAATAAATTAAATTGAATAATAATTTTTTTTACTTAACCAATTAAGATAATTAATTAAAGAAATAGTAAAATGAAAAATTGAATTAAATATTATTATTTTTATTCAAATAAATAATCGGAATAGAGTAATTAAATATGAAATAAATAATATACATAATTAACGAAATATTTAAAGAATAAATTAAATTGAATAATAATTTTTTTACTTAACCAATTAAGATAATTAATTAAAGAAATAGTAAAATGAAAAATTGAATTAAATATTACTATTTTTATTCAAATAAATAATCGAAATAGAGTAATTAAATATGAAACAAATAATATAAATAATTAACAAAATATTTAAAGTATAAATCAAATTGAATAATAATTTTTTTACTTAACCAATTAAGATAATTAATAAAGAAATAGTAAAATGAAAAATCGAATTAAACATTATTTTTTTATTCAAATAAATAATTGAAATAGAATAATTAAATATGAAATAAATAATATATATTCAGATAATTAACGAAATATAATTTTTAAAGAAATATTAAATAATCAAATATGTGAGAATTTTTTTGTTTAACTATTTTAATATGTGATTAGATGAATATATTTATTCCTTTATTAATATGAAATCTGATTGGTTAAATTTGAAGATATGATATTTTATTTATAATCTCTTGTATATGATTTTAACATGTATTATTTTTGTAAGATGGAATATCATATGGACAACGATCTGAGAGCTCATTTGGGAAAAGTTACGATGTATTGTAACTTTTCCAACTATGCGACAGCGATTGAGGGACTGGATGAGGAGCACATCGACATACTCCATTGATCGTTTTTATGGTCCTTCTATCCGTTGAAGGACGTGCAGTTCTCCGAACAGATTATTGGTTCCTTATTACTCTGGCTACTTAAACCAGTCGATGGCAATCAGCTTTATTTTGCTATGGGGAACTGGAAGGTATCGAGATTCTCGATCCTTAAATTTGTCCTCATTACAGGCTTGAGATGTGCTAGAGAAGAGAAGCGAGAGCCCGTATTATACAAAATAAAAGGTTATTGGATTTATATTTTGCAGGTAAAGGGTCGGTTACACCACCACAATTAGAGGACGCATTTAGGAGATGCGATCACATGTTAGACAAGCTGAAGTTAGGATTGGTGTATATACTAGAGAGTATATTGAGGTGTCAACATCGTAGGACGTCGATTGACCTTTTTTCATTGGATGTTGTTAATGATATTGATGCTTTCAACAGCTTTCCATGGAGTAGGAGATGTTACACCGATACTCTCCACGTATTCAGGAAGTTACATACTATGCCGAAATCGGAGAGGGGCGAACTCAAATATGATGTATATGGCTTTTGCATGGCTTTGCAGGTAAATATTCAGTTTCAGTTTAACGTAATGCGCGTTAAACTTTTTTATTAAATGTATAAGTAAATTAATTTTTTTTGTAATTGTTGCAGCTGTAGACATATGAGGCTATCTCTACTTTGGGTAGCAAATGTGCAATCAGAAGGGAGACCAGCTACCTACGAATGCTTCATTAGTGAGCACGTGAGAAGCCATCGGCTAAAGATTTGATAGCTATCATCGACGATTCTCAGGTGAGTATTATATATTTTCAATTTATATTATACGTACATTAACTCGGCTCGATACATGCTCGTTAACACGTTGAAATATGATATGTCAGCTCGAAGTTAATGCTGAGTTGGTTGTTTCGATGGAAGAGGAGGATCAAATATATGTAAGTGAATTACATGTTCGACTTACTGAAAATGATCCAATGTTTGAGTCCGTTCTGGACAGAAATAGGGTACGTTTATTTAAGATCATTATTTATTTTGACTTATAATATTCATGTGTGGATTATTAATATTAATTGTCTTCCCTGTGTAGAAGCGTCATCCAGTAGAATGACGAGCACTTCCACGTAGGAGATCTCATTCGCCTCCACCGATGAGATCACCTCTACCGCCATTATCGCATTCTCCGAAGAGATCTCCGTCTCCCACACCCACCCACCTCCCACATGCATCGCCTACACCCAGTCAGACCCGTCATTCAAATGATTTCTTTGCACGCATGACTGGTATTATTAGAGAGGAGTTGAGAACGATGCAAATACGACAGAGGTAGTAGCACTACGAGAGGAGATAGGGGGTGCTACGACGGGATTTTACGACAGAGGTAGTAGCACTACGAGATGAGATTGGAGTGCTACGACGAGATATGGAGACCTTCATACTAAGGTTGCAGCACTTCGAGGCGATGTAGCAGGCTTTCGAGGTTCTGACAGTAGACATGACAGAGGGAGTGTCGGGGAGATTGGTGTTCCTCGAGATTGGTGGGCAACGATCGCAAGAATTGATGAATTTTTTGATTCGGTGCCAAAGGCCGGGAGGGAAGGGTGGAGATCGGGCCGGAGGAGGCCAGGATGGCCGAGGTGGAGGTGCTGGAAAAATGTGATAGTGTCCAATGTTCGACCCCCATATCTGATAGATATTTCCATGCACTTTCTGATTTATGTTCTATTTGACCCATGAACTTCGTAAACTTTTCAAAGCTGTAGGCTTCTGCAACTCTCCTAAACAATGCAACGATGTCACTGCCCCGGTACCTAGTCTTTAGGTTGCCCTGAATGTAGTACGTGCAATAACCATGATGTGCTTCCGGAAAAACTTCGGCTATATCATTTATTATTGACTGCCCCCGGTCAGTCACAAATGCAATATTCTCGATGTCCCCAATTACTTCTCTCAGCTTCGTGAAGAACGAACACATTGCTAAATCGGTCTCTCCATCGACAATGCCAAATGCAAGTGGGTAAATTTGGATATTGGCATCTTGACATATAGCAATAATCAACTTCTCTTCATATCTAGCTTTTAGGGCTGTACCATCAACTAGAATTAGAGGTCACATCGCATTTCGAAAACCTCTAATGTACTGTCCACGAGCCATAACGATTCTGCCCATCGGTTTCAATAAAAAAACGTCGAGTTAGAATTAGTTTTCACCATGTTGTGGCAATACCTGGCCAATTTAGCATAACTCTCCTCTGTCAAACCCATTAAATCTTCCAATGCACATTCTTTAACCTTCCAGGCCTTCTGGTAACTCATAACCACCCCATACTCCCGACGGATGTTGTTGATGATATATGTAGGTCTGTAAATCGTCCGGGGATCCTAAAACTTGTGCATTATCTGTCGACCAATAAACCATGATCGAGTTTGCCTGTGATCATTTTGACGAATACCCACTTCACAAATATGTTCACGCGCATACTTGCGAACTACAAAGAACTTATTTGTGTCCATCTTTGTCACTCTCAAATGCCAACTGCAATTGTTGTCCACACAAATAATTGTGTATGTAGACTTGTTTTATTTTTTTACCTTAAACTCAAAATTATGTTTCATTGCACTTCGGTGCACAGCTTCTTGCAAATCTCTTTTCGTGTCAAACAATTGATTGACATATAAATTTTCATCATTAGGAACGCGAACAATTAGAATACCGTGTACTCGACCCAGCATGTAAACTTCCACCGGACTCATGTCTCTATCTGGATAAAGCAATCAAATCCTAATTTGTAAATGACCTTTCATCCTCGTTTCTTGAACTTCCTCGTAAATCTTTTGTGTAACGGTGACATCATGGAGAGTAGCAATTGTCCCGAGAATAACCACATCATCCTCACGAGCAATCTTAACAGTATCCCAAAAATCATTCTCATTACGATCCTCTCCATCGAAAACTTCGTGTTCACCCTCGAGACATTTTTCTTCAACAAAATTACGCAAATAGAAGTCGTCTTTCAATATTGGTTCAATTGAATTAGATGCTTTATTTGCACTTTAGAAGTAAATATCAAGGGAGAAATCTCAATTCCATATCGTACTGAGAGAAATCGACGTTAAGCATGTTTTGTATTTCATTGTACATTTTCGTAAATGA